ACTGAATATCAGTCCACAATGAAAAGGAAAATATAACTGTTACCATATACAAAATTCATAAAACATATATTTTATTTCTTAGTGGAATTGTTCAACTCCCACATTCAGAGATGCGTACATAACTGATGTAATAATAGTATCACTTCTCAGTGAGCAACTTTGTTTTGCAAGTCACGACAATATACATTTCTTAAAAGAAAGTCAGTCTAAAGGGAAATGGAAAATAAAATACATTTATATAATTTTTATTATCTATTCATTTATTTCCTCGAGGAATTGTTCCATTTCCTTACACAGAGATATGTAAATACTCTGATAAAATATAAATGTAATGTTCTGATGAACACCCTTTGTTGCTTTCTTGGAAGATGAATTTAGAAACACACTCACTATTGCAAAACAGGAACATTTTGCACAATAAATAAATAGTGAATTTTGTGCCCTCTTAATGTGCCTAATACCTAGTTTATTAGCATATATAGAGTAATATCAAGCACTGTCCCACATGACAGAGAATAAAAAATGAAACTCACTTGATAACATAAATTAAAACTTTTCTTGTTAGATAAATATTAATATTTTCAGTATTTTGGGATATTTGTTATATTAGTATTATATTAAATTATTGCCCATGTTAGTATTATAGTAACTGTATGCTAGAATTGCATCTGCATGTATGTCAAACATATTTTAAAGTTAACATTGTAAATATTATTGTTTATAAAACTTAGGACATGGCTCTATACGTGCATGCTATACAGTTAAAAGTAACTTGATTGAATTCATTGCAATGGTTGACTTATTCAAGTTTCCTCACTTTTGCAAATCATGTGGGACTGGAGTTCCCATTGGTTGTTTACCAGAATATGTGCAAGAGCATAACCTTGTGTTTGTATCATGGCAAAGGGCATTGCTGGCCCTCCTGGCTGGAAGTGCTTGATCAGCAGACATGGACTTACAAGACGGTTCTCTCAAAATTGATCAGAAGCCTGTTATCTATTAATATAATTTGTCCTTGCCCAGTAACTGCTCATGTTGGATCCGGTTGTATATTGGGTGAACGTAGCAAGAGTTAGACTCCACAGCTCACCCTCACCGCTTGTTTATTTGAAAGATATACTCCCAAGAGACCCATCAAGATAAGGCGTTTCAATTACACGAGAGGGGACTGTAGGAGACAGATGTCAATGAAGTTGTTGAAGTGGTAGGAGCCTCACAGCTTAAACAATCTTGGGCATGGATGCCCTCATGACCCTACGTGAACATTTCCAGCCGGCACATTCTCACACCTGGAGCTGGTATCAATTTCATTTAGTGCCCTGCTAGTTCCCTTCCAATGCAGCACTCGCTTTTCCTTGTGTTCTGTCTGCTTGGCATCTGTGGGTCTTTGCTTTGGACAACTGGTGTCCCTGTTCTGCTGAGGTCCTAACCACATGCTTACCTTACTTATTGGATAATCCACCCCTACCCCCACTCCATCTCCCCAACTTCTGACCTCCTTTCCTATAACTTCTAACCGTTCCTTGGCTCTCTGATCTAAGGGAAAGATGAGGGTGGAAGAATCTCAACAACTTCCAGAAAATCTGGGGTTCAATAAAAGAACCAAAAAATTAAACCAGCTGCTATCAAGTCGATTCTGACTCATGGCAAACCCATGTTGCAGAGTAGAACTGCTCTACAGGGTTTTCAATGGTGACCATTCAGAAGCAGATCACCAGGCCTGTCTTCCAAGATGTCTCTGGGTGGATTCAAACAGTCAACCTTTCGGTTAGTAGTAGAATACTTAACTGTTTGCTCCACGCAGAGCTCAATAGAAGTTGACAAAGGAGGGCAGGGATTGCCTCCTATTGATAGAGATAAGAGGTAAGAACCCTCCCAAAGTTGAGGCCAGACCAGGAGAAGCATAGAGGCATGAAGGCAGAAGCAATGCTTTTGGGCAGACTGATTTGAGTATTTTGTTTCACCTAATGCCATCAGACCTGGTTAGTATTCATTTTATTTTCTTGTCTTCACATCCCTGTTCAAAGCCTTCTCCCCACTCCAGCCCTCTAATGATGCATCCTTCCAATAACGATCTGACCACTTCTTTAATAACCATCACACGCTGCCTTGGGTTGCTGGGATCTCTTTAAATGCACGTCCCAGACCCAACTGTGAGCTCCGTGAGAGCAAAGCCCATGGTTCACGTCTCCTTGTATCTGCACAACATCCACTGCTGAGCCTTAAGCAATAATAATAACACTTAGGTGGCCCTAAGGGGCTGTTCTAAGCATTTTAGAAATAGTAACACATTTCATCTTTGTGACAACCCTATGAGATGCTATTACTGTCTCCCATTATACAGATGAGAAAACTAGGCATTGAAGAGCTTAAGTAATAGTCCCAAGGTCACCTAGTAAATGGTCGAGTCAGGATTTGAACTAGGCAGTCTCATTTCACAGTGTGGACTCTTGACCACTACACATCATACTGCCTCTACAGTAAATGCTTGCTGGTTGATTAGGATATTTTGTATTGTCTCTGCCCATTTATTTATGCCATCCATTTCTAATAGTAATTTAATAAAGTAATAATAATAGCCAACACTGAACAGTCATTGAGGATATATAGGTGCCAGTCACAGTGCTAAAAGCTTTCCACTTAGTCCTCGCATTACCCTAGAGGGAGAGGCCATTATCAGCTCCATGCTCCACTCCCTGAGCCACCTCTCTGTCCCAGAAACAGCCTTCTCTCTCCCTGACTCAGGGCCTTTGCACCTGCAGCTCCCTCGACCTAGCATGCTCTTCTCCTCATCTTTACAGGCTAGCTGTGTCTCCTCCTTGGGGCTCAGCTTGCTGATCACCTCCTCAGACACACCTTTCCTGAACAGTCCATTCTTCATCAATCAGTCTGGGTTACAGTCTGTTTAGCACTTTGCCACTATCTCAGATTATTTTCTTTATATGTTTACTTGCTGTCTGTCTGTCTTTCCCTACTAGAAATGTAAACTTTCTGGAAGAAGGACCAATCTGGTTTGCTCACCACTGTATTCCTGGTGCCTAGACCTGGGTACCTGGTTCATAGTAGGCACTTCATAAATATAAGCTGGATAAGTAAACTGTTTGGTATCCCCACTGCACATACCACTGTGCCTTACACGATACATGCTGGTCACTCAATGGGATACTTTCTTCCATGTAAACCCCTCAATCTATTCCATCCTCATTTATTACAGATACCTTAACAGAGTACCAGGTACCTAGCTAAGTAGCATTTCATTTAACCCTAATATGAGGTAGATAATACTATCATTCTCATGCCCATGAGGAAACTGAAGCTTAGAGAGAGGTTACACAGCGTGACCAAGATCACACAGAAGTAGGGCACGAGTCAAACCCCATTCTGTCTGCCTCTCTGAATCCATGGTAGTAATCATTCTGCCCCAGTGCCTCTAGTGGGTCTCCTCATTAAGTCAACTCTCTTCATCCCTGCATCCTCAACAGGTCCTTAGCCTTACTTCTCCCCTCTGAGAGCCGCGTCACTTCTGTCCTTTGCCTCGCTGCCCTGGCTCTCTTTGATGGGCTCCTCCAAATTCTCTCTCCACCATTCTTCTCCCTATTGTGTGCCCCAGGAGTCTGACCCGTACGGTCAGCCGCTTGCCCCTCCCTCTGCTTCCAGTGGCCGGGCCAATGGAAGGCGCCAACAGGATGAGGGAGAGGGAGGAGAGCAAGATCTGGTATTTGCTCTTCCAGCCCGCTACTTACTGGGTCACTGTGGGTTGGCTGCATCCATCTATGGAAGGTCACAACTCCTGTTGGACAGTCCTCCCCATACAGCTACCCTCACGGATCCCAGTGGCCTTGCCCTCCCCCCCTTGACCTAGCTCCAGGGTGCTACTCCCTTGTGCATTCCCTGCCCACACATTTGTAAATAGTCCGTTTATTAAACACCTCTGTCAGTTTCCTCAGTTTGAGTTCACTGCTTTCTGCTGGAACCCTGACTCTCCAATAGGCAAATTCCACCTCACTTCTCACGTCCTCCAATCACCCACCACAGTCGTTGACTGCTCCCCTACCCCCTGCTCATGCAGCTGCCTCCGCCAGGCCCTTCTTCCCTGTTTGGGGTTACATGTCCCTCCAAGACCTATAAATAAATGTTGACTGGCTGGCTTGAAGGTGTGCCCTGGCAGCCTCTACTCTTTGCCTGGGCCACGCCAGCCCCTTCACTAACCACTGAGGCGGTACTAAGGGCAGGGGTGCCCCGCAAGGGCCACAGCAAGCTGTCTGCTCGTGACTAAAATGAAAGCAAAGGTTATCCCATCCACTGCAGGGGTCCCCTTTGCTAAGATCAGGCTTCCCCTATGAGGAGTGTTGGGGGACCCTGCAGATAGTAGATGGTAAGGCAAACAAAGCCAACATCACAGCTTCAGTAACCAAGCAACTACTACAGGCTCTCTGCGAGTTGGAATCGACTGCACAGCACACAACAACCATGTGGCAGGTAATGTACTCGGCCACCGCCTGCACACATTCGCTCTAATACTAACACGAGGAAAGTGAAGTTCGAACGCATTAAGGAATTTAACCAAAGCCACAATGCTACTAAGTGGCAGAGCTGAGATTAGAATACAAATCAACACAAGTACAAACCTACTGCCATCGAGTCAATTCCGACTCATGACAACCCCGTATGTTACGGAGTAGAACTGCTCCATAGGGTTTTCTTGGCTGTTATCTTTATAGAAGCAGATCTCCAGGCCTTTCTTCTGTGGCACCGCTGGGTGGGTTCGAACTGGCTAGTAGGGTTAGTAGTCAAGTGCAAACTGTTTGCACCACCCAGGGAGCCAACCTAAGTCCACAGCCTCTCATTTTCTCCCCAGGCCCATGGCCAATCCCATCATTCTGCAGGAGGGCCACAGGTGCCATCCAGGCAGACACCTGACACCCGACAGGGAGGGGTGGGTGCAGTGAGGTGGAGGTCAGGGAAGAGTAGGGAGGGCTCCGTGCTGCCTAAAGAGTCACCTTGGAGGAGAGCGGCATGGCTTTGCTGCAGCGAGCACTGACCAGCCAGGACATGCCCCTGGTGCTCTTCCTGCTGAGCCAGGGAGCCACCGTGCTCCATCCTTGGGTACACAGCAGCATTTCAAAACGACACGCCGCAGGTACAGACCCCTCCACATCTATATCCAGTCAGTCACAGGGAAAATCTGAAGGGGAGAGTGGAGGGATGGGGAAGGTTTCCTGCTGCGGGACCTCGACCTGGTCTGTGCTTCCCCAAGTCCTTCCCTGCAGCCAAAATTTATATTCTCTATTAACATAATTCAAGAACCAAAGGTTATTTTCTTTTTCTTTTTTGAAGGCAATGGCAAAAAAAAAAAAATCAATTTCTAGTGTTTGGAGCAATTCTTGGAGGTGAACATACTTGCACGCCCACACACACACACACACAGAGCTCTGCTACCACATGGCCCAAAATAGGGCACACATCAGTCCTGGCTTGCCTCAGCTCTGGAGAGCCCAGCTCAGCACACCCTGCTGACCTCCGTCCACATGACTGCTGGCCGCTCTCCTTCTCCAGGGTAACAAAACGCACTCCCAGAACCCGGCAGCAGCTCCTGTTCCCAAAGACCACTCAGCCCCCACCAAGCTCGGGGATCGCCGTGACCTGTCTGATGTGTCCTGACAGGACAAGGCCCGATTAGCAGAGGCCATTTCCAGTGACACAGCACGGGACAGGGCCCAAATCTCCAGAGCTACCCTGAGCCCCCGCCCCCCATCCCTCCAAATCTTCACTGACGTGACTCCTCTATGTGAATGGCTTCCATAGTGGTTTACAGACTTTTTGGAAAAGATCCAAAACACAAAGTGTCTTTTAAAAGAAAAAATACTGCTAAAGCACAGAACTGGGTTTCATCTTAAAATCTTTGCACTACTGGAATTGAACACTCTCAATCCAATCAAAAACACTCTATAGCCCTCCCTTCAAACATCAAAAGTTTAATCTCCCCTAAAGATAGGAGGATAGCAAACATGATGAGACCCAATTAATACATGGAGAGACTGAGAACAGAAGAAGGAAAATCAATAGAATTCCCTTGCTCTGACCACTGCTGCTAATGAAGTAATAACTTGTGGGCAACTTGGGGAGGAAGGAACCAAATGTGTCACACGGCAACCATGAGGCAATTTAACAAGGCAGTGTTGCCCCATAGGAGTCTCTGGGTGGTGCAAGTGGTCAACATGTTTGGCTGCTAACCGAACAATCGGAGATTGAAGTCCACCCACAGTTGCCTGGGAAGAAAGGCTTGGTGATCTACTTCCAAAAGATTAGCCATTGAAAACCCAGTGGAGCACAGTTCTACTCTGACGCACATGGGATCACCATTAGTCAGAATCAACTCAATGGCAACTGTTTTTTTAAACTGTTTTATCGCCCCATATAGACTGACTGGGTAAAGAAAACCACTGTCTTAGTTTCTCAGCGCTGCTGTAACAGAAATACCACCACTGGGTAGCTTTAAAGAACAGAAATTTGTTTTCTCAGCCAGGAGATTATAAATCTGGATTTAGGGCATATGCACTAGAGGAAGGCTCTCTCTTTGCTGGCCCAGGGCAAGATCCTTGTGTCTTTCAGCTCCTGTAGCCCTGGCGTTTCTCAGTTCCTTGGCAATCTTCATATGGCATCTGTTTTCCCCCATTTTGCTCTATTGTCTGCGTCTATACTGTTTGTGTCTATACTGCTCCTTATATCTTAGAAGTGATTAGGTTAGAGACAGACCCTACACTGACATGACCTCCTTAACATAACAAAGAAAACTATTCCCAAACAGGATTCCTTCCACAGGTATAGGGATTAGGATTCTAACACGTATTTTGGGGGGACACAATGCAATCTACAACAGCCACCAAGGCATTCCTGGGGATAGAAGGAGGGGGGAAACAGCTGAGGTCACTGCCTTCCTTCCGATCATTATATGGCGTGAGGCTTATCTGTGGTAAATTCTCATCTCTCTCTCAAAAGCAAGCATAACAGAGAGCAAAAGGGAGGCAACTTTCACACAAGCTGCCAGTATATTAAGGACACTGACAATTTCTAGGCAGGCAAAGGCCATATGGGCTTCCCTGCAGCTTCACACTAAGTTTATCTCCATCATCACTCTCTCCCTACCCTCGCCCTTCCATGCACTGAGAGAAGAAAGGAAATTAACAAGCCTGCACCCAAAATCCATGCGGGATCACCAGCTGCACCATTTGCAGCATCCAAAGACAGGGTGTGGGAAGCCCCAGGAGAAAGGGAGACATTGAGAGGTCTCTATCCCCACCTCACACTTGGCACCTGGAGCTCCGTTGGATAGAGAACACCGTCAAATTCAACAAGAATTTAATTGGACCTGTCCGTGAGTCCAGATGTGGAAGGTAAAGTAAGACTGCCAGCTCCATTACTATCCTTGCACCTGCAGAAGTAAATCTCTTGCTCTCCAGCTGGGCTCCCTGGCAGCCCCTCAGATCCACCCCATCACCCCCACGCATGCAGGTCTCCTTGCTGCCTCTGGATGGGGGCTCATAAAGCTGCTGCTAGCCTGAGTGACAGTCATTCATTCATTTAGCCGGTAAATGTTTAAGGAGTGCCTACTCCATGCCACAGCAGGCCACGTGGAATAAAGTCTAGTGTTTTGGAGAAATGCTGGGGCTCTGGCATTAGCATAATGATCTGAGTCCTGGCTTTTCATTTACTTGCTGTCTGACCTGTTGACCTCTCTGAGCTTCACTTTCCTCATTTGTAAAATGTGGATAGAAAATAGGACCCACCTCATAGGATCACTGAGAAGAACAATTGAGACAGCCTCACCACGATCAGAAAATATTAGCTGGTACTAATGTTACTGGTGGAGAAATGGTTAAGTGCTTGGCTGCAAACTGAAAGGTTAGCGGTTCAAAACCACCCAGTGGCTCCGCGGCAGAAAAGACCTAGCGATCTGCTCCCATAAAGATTACAGCCTAGAAAACCTATGGGGGTAGTTCTACTCTGTCACATGAGGTCACTATGAGTCGAAAATCAACCCGACGTCACCTCATGACAACAACAACATGAGGTGGGGGTCCCTCCTTCTACTTGCTGTCACCACTAGCGGCAGAAAAAGGCAGTTCATGAGTTCACTGCTAGACAGTTCTGTCTGTTCCACTGGCCCCACCATTCATACGGATGAGCAGTAATAATGTATTAAAAAATAAAATAATTCAATGCCATTGGTTAGATTGTCCCCTGACTCCATCTCATTCTCCCCACCAGTCAGCTGTCTGGCCAACAGAGTCAGTGATCAGAAGCCCAGCCATGAGTATGTAGGTGATTCAATGCAAAGCCATCCCTACTAGCAGGAACCTAACTCAGCTCATGTCCTCCCCAAGGTGGGTGGAAGGCATCCATCACCTTTGTTTAAAGGACACTGGGTCACAAAAGAGGAGGAGATTTAGCAGGTTGGAGCTCTGGAATATTCAACAGGATATTTGTAAAGGTGGTGTGTTAGTTTCCTATTGCTGCTATAACAAATTACCACAAACGGACTGGCTTCACACAGCACGGATGTATTATCTTACAGTTCTGGAAGTCAGAAGTCCGAAATGAGTCCCATAGGGCTAAAATCAAGGTTTTAACAGGGCTGTGTTCCTTCTGGAGGCTCTAGGGAAGAATCTCTTTCCTTGCCTTCCAGTTTTTAGAGGGTGTCTGTATTCCTTAGCTAGTGGCCCCTTCCTCCATCTTCAAAGCAACTTTAAAGGCAATGGTGTAGATTGCAAAAATGTCCACAATTATCCTCCTGCTTGTGTCCACACCCCATGAAATGTGATTTTGCCACTCTTTCAATCAAGAGATGGAGTCTATTTCCTTACCTTTTTAATCTGGGATGCATGTGTTGACTTGCTTTGGCCAATAGATTATGGCAGAAGTGACATAGGGTCAATTCCTGCCCAGCTGTGAACAAGATTAGGCTAGCCTGCTGGAGGAGAAGGAGCAAAGACATGTAGTGGAGACAAGCTGTCCTGGCTGCGGCTATTCTAGACCAGCCAGCCCACAACCTACCCAGCAGCTGACCCCAAACACATGAGTGAGCTCAGTCAAGCCCAGAAGAACCGCCCAGCTGAATCCAGATCAATTTGCTAACCCACAGAATCATAAGCAGCAAAATTAACTGATACAGACAGGAACCAGCGTCTCTTTCATCTTTGTATCCTCAGCAACCAACACATGGCCTGGCATATATGTTACACAGTAAATGTCTCATGAATAAATTATTGAATCAATGAATCAGTAAGACTGGGAATCAATGAATGACTTACTTATGCTGGAAAGACTGTGTAAGATCACATAATTTTATTGAGATACTTTGATTTAAGGAATATTTTCAGATTGGGTTGCCAGCTGCCTAATAAAAAGACACAGTCCCTGGGTGGTGCAAACAGTTAATGTGCTCAGTTGCTAATGGAAAGGTTGGAGGTTCGAGTTCACCCAGAAGTGCTTCAGAAGAAAGGCCTGGAGATCTCGTTCCATCAAGTCAGCCATTGAAAACTCTACGGAGCACAGTTCTACTCTTACACACATGGAGTCCCTATAAGTCAGAGTCAACACAGCAACAACTGGTTTTTAATAAAAAGACTTATTTTCTTCATTCCTCTCAGTCAAGATTCTATAAATTTTTAGTTCAACAAGTTTAGTCAAGTAAAAATGAACACTTCACAAGAACTTATAATGTAGGGAATGGTTATTTAAAAACTAGATTCATTGTTTAGAGATCTGGATCCTAGACTCAACTCTACCAATAATTGCAAGACCTTGGTAAATCTCTTAAGTATCATTTCCTCATCTGCAGAAGAGCAATCAAAAGAACATCACCTTTCCCTGTCAACCTCACTGTGTTGTAGCAAACGAGATGGGGTGTGAAGGCTCTCGCACTAGATGGTGATGGTGTTCTAAAGTTGGTGATATTGCTTTCCACCAATACTTCTACTTCCTCTATAAGTAGAGTTTTGCTTTTTCGATGGTATCT